TTCTATGACAGGAGGAGGGTCTATGACGAACAGGTTCTAGCGAGGAACAGGGTGTACATGAGGGTGAAAGAGATTGCCCAGAAATGTTGTGGAAGTGGTGTTGCTGCGGTGGTAACTCTTGGGTGGGCTAGATTACAGGCGTGGTTGTTGATGGCTGCTGCTGGGCTGGGGTCCTGATGGGTAAGGTGGCGGTTTGACTGGGTCTATGCTGGCGGTGTCATGTCTGCCATTCGGATAGTGTCAGGAACTTTGCTGAATGGGTAACCACCTGGAAGGTCCATCATTAGGGGCGTTGTATTGGGTTCGCAGTGAGCATCATGCCTGACGAAAACATATACTCGTGTGAGTGGTGCAGGAGGATGTGTTCAGGGCGCCGAGAACTGGCGTGGAGCAGTAGCTCTGAATGCAGAAACTGTTTTGTGGCGCTTTTGGAGTGTGAGGGCCTGAGGGGGATGTCTTGTATGCTGCCAGGTCTTCGTCTTTCTCTTGAGCAGCGGCTAGCTGCCCATAATCAATGGGTGGAGATGAGGCCGTTGAATCTCTACTTGAGAGAGGGCGTCAATGATCTGCGTTGTCTTTAATGTGTTGGGCGATGGCTGGAGAACTCCGAGATGTAAGCCAAGTGGCGCCAGGACCTTGGCGTATGTGACTTCAAGGAAGCTGAAGCGGCGTGGACGAGGAGCTGTGATCAGTGAAGATGGTGAACTGGCGGGCCTCGAGGTGCTGGAAATGTTTGACAGCCAAGGTATATGTCAGGAGTTCTCGATCAAAAGGCTTACTGTACTTGAGGTGTGGTGGTTGAAGCCGTTGAGAAAAGCAACGGGCATAGGAATTCCGTGACCTCCTGCTGTAAGATGGCGCCTACGTAGAAAAGCGTCTGTTGTGAGAGTGGTCGGGCGTTAGAGTGCGGGGTGGCCAGGAGGGTGAGGCGATGTAATGTGCTGTTTGATAGTGGTGGTCCGTGGCCTCTTGAGTCCACCGCGAGAGACTTAATGAGACTTCTTTGGGCGTCCTTGAGAGGTCGTGTGAGGGGCTAGGGCGGTGGCAACTTTGTCCAATGAAGCGGTGGTAGTAATTGAGCCTAAACCTAGAATTCTCAGGTTTCTTAGCGTTTCGGGTTGGGGAACTCCCCTATCGATTATCTTCTGTGGTAGGGGTTGTATGCCATAGGCGAGACCTAATGACCGAGAAATCGATGGCCGAGGTTCAAAGGCGCCCTTAGCAGGATGAACTTTCATGTTGTTGTTCTGCAGAGGCGTTGGAAAGGAGTTGTAGGTAGTGGCGGTGCTGTGGGCGTCGAAGATGTGGCGAGGATGCCGTCAATGTGAAGCGGTGACAAAATCGAGGTCGCTTGAAGCATATGGTCCATGTACCTCTGGAGAAGTCTGTGCTGCATTAAATGGCCAAAACTCATGAAAGTGTGCTCAGAAGAGTCCAAGCGAATTAGTGGCTGTCTTCTGGGTATCTGCGGTGCTACTGGGATCTGGTGGAGAGAGCCGCGCTCCAAGTCGATCTTGAGAAGATAGTCTTGCCATAAAGTTTAATGAGTGAATGTCCTGGACATCGCAGATAAGTGCCTGTCAGGTTTGGTGGCCGAGATTCAGGGCTCTGTAGTAGCCACATACCCTCCAGTCGCCCGGATGTTTGCTTAGGAACCATGTGAAAGCGATGCAGGGACTCCTTGAAGAGGCGAATGATGCCGTCTTGCAGTAGTTTTGTTGAATTCTACTGCTTTGGCTGTGTTCAGGAAGCTCAGGGCCCAGGCGAGGCGTGAAAGACTGAGTGGTCCTTTGATTTGTTCGATGTAATTGGAAAATTCTGATGTAGGTGGTGGGGGTAGGGACTCGGGGTGAGAAAAGGCTCCCATGAATTCGTCGAGCAGGAGAGGGAACTAGATTCCAGAGCGCAAGACAGGTGATAGTGTGGGGTGTGTCCCAGCCGCGAGAACCCTGGATCTTCTAACGTGCTGTGGGCTCATGGATGAGAGCATAGATGACTTGGTTTTGGCCGAGGCTTGTGGAAGGGTGAGGAAATTAGAAACCAAGGATGGAGTTGAGACCGTCTGTAATACGAATAACCAGCGCCAAGTCTTGGGCAGACCGAGGTCTAAATGCGTGCGCGTGGGCGATGGGTACGTTGGCAGCCGGAGCAAGGTCATAAGAGGTTGCTTTTGACTTGTCTTGTAGTGAGGAGATGGGGCTGACTCGCCAATGAACCTGTAGCCGATGAGGAACTTCTTGCGGAGTGCGGTCGATTGACAGCGCAGTAATGGGAGCGCCTGGAGGGCCGGTACAAAGGCGTCTACCTGGCCTCGGTGTTGCCGTTTCCCGAATAGGTGCAATAGGGCTCCTGATTTCGGTATTCTTGCGGCGAAAGTCTGGTGATACCAGTAGAGGGTATGTTGTTGTGCTGGGGCTGTGCTGATAGTATTGAACTTGTGGGGGAGTGGTGTGTGAGTCAGGAACTGGGCGCAGCAGCGGGTATGGAGGAGCAGAGACTGCTCAATGGTGTCCATCCTCTGCGGTTCAAAGTTTTATGGGTCCTTGATGTCTTGTGAGGTATTGCTCGGCTGAGGGTGTTGACCCGGCTTACAGGATTCGATTGGTGGTACTGGTGTGACCGTGTGACAAGGGGTGCAGCTGGCGCACTGCGTTGAAAATTCTGTCTGCGTGGTTGCATGTAGTTTCTGGGCATATGATAATCTACTGCGGACAGGATGTTTAGAGTACTTCTGTGGGTAGCTTTTGTGCGTGAAGCTGGAACAGGATAGAGTTAGAGAGGTCTGTCTGTTAATGACGGGAGTTCAGCCGACACATCTCCTCCCGAAGCGTCAGGTTGAGTTCGAGGAGATGAAGGATAGATCTTCTGCAGGGGTGGGGCTGGTCTGTTGATAATGCGTCTTCAAGGCATCCCGCAGAGATGGTAGATTGTTGTCATCTGGAGGTTGAAATGGTTTGTGTGACCAGCGTGGCCACTTCCGTGGGCAGGCTTTTAGAGCAGAGGCGCCATACTTTAACTGGGTGATGCTTGTGAGCCGTGAGGGCTGCTTCCATGATCTGGCCAGTCATCGGCGTTGTTGTTGAAAGTATTGAGATCTGTCCGTCCCTCACATCCTGTGTGAGTGCTTTTTTTTTCGGGGGTCACTATTTGTAGGGTTTCGTGATATTATGTTGTCTAGCACTCAGGATGGAAACTCCTAAGGTGGTGTTCTTATATAATATAAGTTATATAGTAGACAGTCTAGTGCTGGAGGTGCCGTGTGGTGAGAGCTGCTCAGTAGACCGCGTTCGGTGAGTATTAGCGTGTTGAAGGATAGATGTGCAGGAGCCGTTGAAGAAGATGTGTTACTTTCTTCTTTGCTCCAGGTTAGATGAAACGGGACAGCGAGGAGCTTCTAGCAGAGGAGGTGTTGCCTGTTGAGGAACCCGAGAGCAGAATGAATCTCAATGGAAGACAGAGCTTATATACCTGGCCCGTGGAGTCAACCCGGTAGGAAGCCCTGGTCTTTGACTCCGTGCTGGGATATACTGTGGCATCTGGCGCCCCCTGGGCAGCTCGTTTAGTTGCTAGGGAGAGCGTGGCAGGTGGCATCTTATTTCTGTAGGAGTCAACTGGAAGCTCTGGTCTTTTGACCTGTTGTTAGGATACTGTGTATCTGGCACGCCCCTGCCGCTGTTTGGTGCTAGTGACGTGAGGTATGCGGCCACGAGTTGTGGTGTATATCCACTACACTAAGGATGTTTATATTCAAAATATCCAAATTGTAAGAATTCCCAAATTATATTCTGACCGGTATGAATCAATTTTATGAGTCAAAACAAATATCTTCAGTTTATAAAAAAAAAAATTCTTCACATTTGTAACAGATGGTCGGTCGTCCCTCCCTCCTGATTCTCCTCCCCACCAACCTCCTATTAGATGTGTGGGAAATCCAGAATATTTACCTTTTTAGTAATAGCACATCCTCAAACTAGTTAGGATAATATAATTGACATTGCTGATTCCTTGTAAGACCAGGAATATTTTGAATACAAATGTCATATATTTTGCATGTAATAATATATTTGCTCAGAGTAAACATTATATCTAAAATTTGTATGTCTAATGCCAAAATTATGATGTTTATATTCAAAATGATCATATTGTAAGAATTCCAGCAATGTAAATTATATTCTGGACGGGTAATTTGTATGAATTTTATGAGCTAAAATGAGGTGGTGGGGGTGGGCGAATTGCTAAATAGCTCCTTTAGCTGGACATTACTACGGTATACGCGGGAAAAAATCGCTATGAAAGTTCAGTTTGGCGAGGCAATCACAGACATGAAATCGCTAAGCTTAAAACCGTGTTGAGCGGGTATTACTGTATTATTTAAGCATTTACTTCATTACCTGGATTTGGGTTCAACCCGTCGTGAAGTCGGTTGTATTGTATTTTATGGTGGTGGCCTGGGGCCTCGGATGACGAAAGCTTCCTCAACATGGCTTAATCCAGCTCTGCAGGGGCAGTAAAAATTTGAAATTAATTGTATGGGCACAGCGATTCAAAAGTTACAACCCTTTGTTGTGATCTAATTTTTTTTATTTGTGAAAAGTGATGTGCTTTGAGAATAGGGTATAAATATTAATCGCTATTATCGGGGGTGAATAGCGGGTATTCCTACTGTACTTATTATGTTCATGAATACCTCTTTTATGAGGCTCAAAATGTAGCTCAAGAAACAGTAATATTTTTTTTTATAATTTTTAAAATGTTTTAGAAGTTGTTATGCTATTAGTTGATGCCATGGTCTCACTAGTAACTCATTAAAGACAATGGTTTTAAGAGAGGTATACTCTTATTGGATATTTCTTGGGTAACATCTTCAATGTACACATGCCATGTACAATATTACAGTATGTAGCAGTTTGTTTATTATTCAGTTGCTTTTATTTTAGGAAATTTTATGATTACAGTGTTTGTATCGTGTCTTAATTGTAATGTATGAATTTTCCTTGTAGATGATGAACTAGACAACATTGCACTGCTCCAAGATGCTGTGCCACAGTTGAATCACTCAATATTAGTCACTGTATAGGACATGGCACCTTCAGTTCTGTGTGCTTGGCTCAGTAAAACATACTACAACCATCATTATGCGTTACGCCTTTGCCATCACACATCATTCCTAACTTCCCATCCATCTCGGTTTTCATGGATTAGGTGCCTCAAATTGATAGGGTAAGTTATTGTTGAAGTTATGGGAACTAGATGATATTATTTGTTTCAAGTCAGGTTGAATTTTTTTATTCTTGCACTTGAAATCAACCAAGCTAGAACATGGAAAGTTATGAACCACTGAAGGTCAGCTAAAGCCTGGTGAAAAAAATTCCTTTACCAATTCATGAATTAGAAATGTAGTAAGGCATCCCCGATTTGTTGAATTTCGCTCTTACGGAATTTGTAAATTATGACCAATAATTTGCGTTACAGCCTGTAACCGCTTTTACAGAATTGGTAAATTTTAACAATTTAAAATAAAAATCACTATATAAAATAATTTTTTGTGAAAATGATAATTTGTTTAGCGTGGATTTCTTGGTGTTGTTACGCTAAGCGTGGCATCGCCACAAGGAGTTACTCCATTGTTTTGCATCCAGTGTCTTGGCGCATGTTTCCCCAGCAGTTTGATTTAACTTTTACAAACATACAGTAAGTATATACAGTGGAAAGAGGCCATCATGGAAGTGACCCCAGTAGTAAAAAGAAGCTGCGTACATTACATTGATATTAAACTTGATGTTTTAAGAGGTATACTATTTAATGTACTGTATTATGTGTTTATAAATGTTTATTTTCTTTCATAAAGTGCTTTTAATTACTTTTTGGAGCCCAAAATATTCCTTAGAATGCATCTCCAGTTTTATAATGGAAGTCAATGAAAATAGGTTTTCGCGTTATGGAATTTGGATAAAATCATTTTCCAGGATGGAACCCTTCCGGAATCAAAATTAAACAAGCTCAGTATACTGTAGTAGTAAATGGAGGATCCATTTCTGGTGACAAAATATTTCATTTTCCTCCCCAAAATAACATTAATGTACAAAATAAGAGCAAATAATGCAGGGTCTCGATTGTTTCTCTTTACTATGACAACACAACATACAAATATTTTTTCTCACGTTTGATCTTTTTTCATCTTTGTATTTCTTTATTATTAGTATTATTACAATGCTGTTATTATTATTATCATTATTGATTTATTATTTTATTTAAATTTTTTATTTGTATAAGTTTTATTTATTATGAATTATTATTATTATTATTATTATTATTATTATATTATTATTATTATTATTATTATTATTGCATTTTCACCTCAGGCCTCGATATGGGTCAGTGACCTGTGCCCTGTGGTAATCCTAAAAAAAAAAAATAAAATAAAAAAAAATAAATAAATAAATTAGTTGGCCAAGAACATAACAACTGATCACCTATCCCTCACCTCTCTCTTTCTATTCTTGTTAGTGTTTCTTCTATATATGTTCAAGTAAACCTCTATTTGTGATGGGGTTAGGTTCCTGAAAACTCCATCACAGGTCAAAATATCGTAAATCAGGTTTGTTATAACATTGGCTTCAGTGGGATAGGTCTTGGCCAGTCGGACACCCATATGTATCACTGAAAAAAAAATCGTACAACACAATAAAACAACACTCACCACATTGTTAAGAAGAAGTCTGGTCATCACATGTCCCCTTCTTCAAGGCTAAGGGACTCTTGGGTGGAGGATTCAACCTGACTCCACACAGAGTTTAGGAGTCTAGAGTGGAGACTGAGGTGTAGCATTTGTAGTGGCCTTGAAGATGGTAAGCAAAATTTTTACAGACATTTTCAAAGTTACACTGCTCACTTCACTGTCACAATTCTTTTTATGAAAAAACATAAGAAATGTTGCACGAGGTGTGTAAGGATGAGGGTCTCATGTTACCGACCTGCAGAGTTTTAACTAAATAATTTTTCTTGTGTACTGTACTCATGAACATAAGAAAGGAGGAAACTGAAGGACCTATTGTCCCATACTGGCAGTCCCATTTACACCCAACCCCTATTGCTCATATATCCATCAACCTTTGTTTGAAGCTGTCCAGCGTGATTTGAGATAATGATGATGTTTGGTAACTTGTTCCACTCATCCACTACTCTATTCTAAGCCAACAATTTTGGGTATTTACTTTATAAATTACTCACATTTTTAAGTACTTTTACTCAATACAATTGAAAAACAAAAATCGTATTCATTACATGCAAACAAATAATATACAGTGATATCCCGTAGCCATAGCAATTGTTGCAGAGCACTTCCAGGAATGAGAGATTCGGAATCTAGACGACTCTTCAAAGCCGAAAAAATTCTCATCCGGAATTTTCCAGGTAACGGAAAAATTTTCTGAAGTTCCAGAAATTGCCGTTACATCATCTCTGAAACCATGAAAAATATCTCAAGACTTTAAATTTTCAGGTAGCGGAAAAAGTTCTTGGAAGTTCAGAAATTGCCCATTGCATCATCTCAAACCCAGAAAAAACTCTCTTCCTGGAATTTTCTAGGTATCAGGAAAATTTTCTAAATTTTCCGGAAAATGTGCCCCTCGGAAAATCGTTCCCATAGCCAAAATTTTCTGAAAATTCGCTTTTGGGAATGTTTTTCGAAAATTTAAATTCGGTTATCGGAGAGTTCCGGGTGTAAGGGATTCTGGTTAACGAGGATATTACTGTATTTTTTAATTCGTTATTAACCATATTAAAAGAGTTTTGTGGGTGGAGGGTATGGTGTGTGTGGAGCCGTGAAGGGTACGGTGTGGGTGTGGGGAGACACCATGCAGTCACATACCTAGAGGTCTCGTGAGTGTGTGATGTCTGCTAGGTGTATGTGCGTATCAGTATTGTTCAGTATGAAAGTGCCTCTCTTGGTTCTCGGTGTGAATGATAGTTCTCATACTATTGTTCAATAGTGAATGAGACAGTTTCCATTCCTATATATGTATTGTAGAAGTTGACTTGTTTGTTAAGTAATATACAGTAGTCATTCATTGAATCCTGCCGGTCACCTGTACAAGTTCCTCAACATTGCAATTCTTCATATGCGTGTTTCCTTACCCCACCATGATGAAGAAACCAAACCTGGAGCTGGTGGTAGGATCTGCTGCTGGTTGCTCTCACCTACTACGTCTGTGCAGCTTACTACAACATCGACACTGCACAATGGAAGGACAGTTGGAAACGGTTGACAGCGCTCATGGCAAGTCAAATGGAGGGAAGCACACAGGAGAGAGGCAGCCTGACCACTGTCTTGGAAGGACTGGAGCTCAAGGCAAGGTGGACAGCTTGGCGCTGATTGGGGGCGCTACACGCCTGTCAGAGTAGCGTCATAGCACCTCATGTATGAATCCAGAGTTACCTCCAGTCACGACTCTTTCCACACCTCTCAAATCTTCCGCCTCCTGGGGGTTTGGCCTTCCTGGCGACATAAGTTAGAGGATATGAAGCTTACCAAGATTCACTACTACCTCTGATGACGAGATCTCGACTTTGAGTGGCGTTGCTGGACGGCGATTGGTCAGAACACTGAGGTATGGACTTGCTGTGGCTGATGGGGATCTCAGACTACTTCGTTGCAATGGAGGCCCACTTACGGCATGGCATAACATCATTGTTGACAGGAGAGACTTTTATTCGCATTCAGGGCGGGAGGTCTTCTGAGGTTTCCTGTGCAGCATCAAGGAGATAGCCTTGTGATTTTTGTGATGTGTGTCTGGACAACTGGATCACGAGACAGAGTGGTTGTGGCACCCGTGATGAGGGGCCTGAAGGACCTAGACTTACAGAAGGCATTACTGGTAGACATTTGTAGAGCTTCTGAAAGTAACTACGCAAGCAGCTGAGATACCAGGTCTACTAAGCCTCTGGCCAAAGTGTGCGCTTCTACGTGAGGACTGGCGTTACTGCGTTCCGACTGCTAAACCGAACAGTGTTACAGATGTGGAAAGACGTCACACTGACATGAAGGCCTGCAAAGCCCTGGATTGGGTATGTTAAGCTATGTAATGCGAAGGGGCACTTTCGGTCGGTTTAGCGGATTGGAACCGAATACAATCAGTGAATCTGAGACCATGACCAGAAGGTGCGGCTCATAGCAGGCGTATATCTTAACAGTGCTCAGTGGTGCCCAGATCAAGGTTAGGGTTCACAACTCATCTTATTCTTATCCGCGTTTTCATTGGATATATAGTCATGCTCCGGTTAGCGTCTAGATACGTTCTTGGAAGCGTGGCGTTAACGGAAATGGGCGTGTCTAGATCATCATAAACTTTTTATTTGTACTTATGTGTATGTGGAATACTATATCGTGCATATACACTTTTACTCTTAAATCACTACTGTAATGTGATACAGGTGATTAATTTTTATCTCTTGTGCAAAATACATGAATTTATATTGAAATTATTCACTGTTTACAAAGGATTCCAACTAGCGCCAGCAGATGGGGAGAGAGGTGCGTGGGGAGGGTAGATACGTTTGACAGTTGGTACAGGCCCAGGTCTACTTGGCGTGTATATTTATCAGTTCTTAAGTGACTAAGCTTCTCTCTTACAAAAAAGCCAGTGGAATGACCTGGGTGAATATAATTAACATAGCTGGGATTCTTATAACATACTGATTAATTTGAATATAAACATGCTATAATTTGCACTAGACAAGCAATTTTGGTACCGTAATCAAATTAGTACATGTGCCCTCCAACTTTGCACTAAAAATCTATGTAAATCTACCCAAAAGTACAGTTGAAAAACTTTTTTATAAAATGTAGTACAGTACTTTGTGTACACTAATGTATTTTTTATCTCGAGCAAAATAAATAGCGTTTATATTCAGAGTATTTGGGCTGTCTTGGAGGATTCCAGCAATGGAAATTATAGTCTCCTAACTTTGAGTCTGAGATATTATATAAGATAAAACTGTAAGCCTAAAAGCCTGGCTGGGGAGGGTGGGGGGACTGGCGGCTCCGCCACAGTAGTTGGGGGGGCTG